CAACTAAATAAAACTAAACTATAATGAAAAATCCAAAACTATTATAACCTTGACGTGAAATAAAGTAAATAATAAAATTAATAATAAAAGGTCCAAATCTGATTTAGAGATAAGCCCTAAATAATAACCAGCCACAAGCAAATCAAACCAAAAAGAAATTCTGTTTGCTCTTCAAATTTTTGACCGTAAAGCTTAATTTGCACCATTTTCATGTCTCAAAAAGCAATAAATATCTTCGTTTTCACACAGGAATAAATGTATTTAATAAACTTAACAAAAAAAAATCCCCGACTTTTTAAAAATGCCCAGAAATGAATTAATGTATCAATTTCTGGGCATCCTTGAGTGAAAAATGGCACCGTCTGCCTTATATGAGCTGCCTAAACCTTTAACTTTTCACAAACGGTCGAAATGAAAGCTTTATTTTACTACATTTATTACTACATTAAGTAATGATGCACGAAGATTAAATAAAATGAGGTAAAATGATAAGAGGGGGCTGTGAAGAAAGAAAGATAAAAGGCCAAAGAGACAGAAAGAAAGCACTGTGGGATCGCAGGGAAGTGGGAGAGGAGTGCAAAAAAAAAAAAAAGTCCAGCTCAGTGCAGAGAAGAACAAAAATAAAATTAAATAAAATAAATGCAGGAGGAAGAGAGGGATTGTGGGTAAAGACCTGCTTCTTGGGAAAGGGACTGTCTCCTTCCAAGCTATCAACAAAGGCACTCTGTGGGGACACAAGGAAGAGGGGCAATGAGAAACCAGATGGCAGTTAAGAGCTCGAAGGGAAAAAAATAAATAAATAAATCAAACTTCAAAATAAAAATCACATAAAGCAGATGCTGGGATTCCCAAAGCAGCGTGAGCACCAAGATCATCTGTTGTCCCTGACTTACAAACAGAGAACGGATGATGTTGGCGTTAAAAACACTTTTAGAAGAAGCAGACAGAGCAATGAGTTAGAGTGAGTTACACCAGGAATTAGTCGGGGTCGCTGTATTAAACACACCTTACATTGTTCAATGGAAAACGCAGGTAAATTATCATGAATTAGATTGTATCTTTAATAGAATATCTGAAATGGGTATTAAATCAAATGTCTGTCAATATAAGCGTTAAATTACACGTGTCAAACTCAAGGCCCACGGGCCAAGCCTGGTCCTCGTTAACGTTTTAAGTGGCCCCAAAGGTTTTACTTTAAATGTGAAATATGTTTTGGTATTTAGTGCATTCTTCTCACGGCCAGCTTTCAAGCCGAAAAAGTAATAAATTTCAGTTATCTTTTCCTGTATTCTCCTCTAATTTTAAAGTAAAATAATTAAATTTGTTAGTGTAAGACATAAGAAATGAAGACGTCGCTTTCTAAACGTAGTCGTTTTTCTTTATGCATGTTCTAAATAGGGCTGGGTATCGATTCAGATTCCCCAAATCGATTCGATTTAATTCACGATTTAGTTTGATTGATTTTTAAATTAGTTAAGGACATCATGCAGCAACACATTAGCTTTGATATAGAAGACATTCTCAAAGGAACTAACTCCAACTTGGTGCATTGGTAAAATTATAAACATTAAGGGTATGTGTTGCACGCTTGTGCTGCCTCAGTTTAGCTAAAAGTTTAGTTTAAAACAAAGGCAAGGAGGAAAACATTCCCTGTGCATTTATTTTTAACTAAACTTGAAACTAAACCGCGGCAGCACAAGCATGCAACACATAGAAATTAAAAGACTTGTTGGACAAAATTATAAAAATAATTCAATTTAAGCATTCAAGAGACACAAATGCATGTACAAGTAAAAACAAATTATAAAAATAATTCAATTTAAGCATTCAAGAGACACAAATGCATGTACAAGTAAAAACAAATTATAAAAATAATTCAATTTAAGCATTCAAGAGACACAAATGCATGTACAAGTAAAAACAAATTATAAAAATAATTCAATTTAAGCATTCAAGAGACACAAATGCATGTACAAGTAAAAACAAATTATAAAAATAATTCAATTTAAGCATT